CCACTATTGTTTCAATTTTTTTATAGGTGCATATGGACACACACAGAGGCACAAGCATATATTCATAAAGAATTATATTCTATCTAGAGTTTCATAACCTTTAAAAAACTTATCTCTAATATTTTCCTTTACCTACAAGTGTGTTTGTATCACATGTTGGAGATAGGCATAGTATATCATTACATATTTTATTTTTTATTGTCCCATTCCTCCATTCATGTCCATTTAAATTACCAATTTTCATTATTGTAAAAAAAATGTTATGAGGAATATGCTGTTAGCTAAATCATAGCATACATTCATAATTATTTCCTGAGGATAAATTCCTAGCCCTAAACATATTGGGCCAAGGTATATATCCATTTTAAAATCGTATACATATTGTGAAATTGCCCCTCAGAAATGTACCCAGCAACTGCTAGTGGAATTCCTTCTTACATGTTTTAACCACACCTTTGACAATGGTAGGCAAATACCATTTTTTTAATTTAATTAGAACATTTTTTGTCAGTTTGTAGGCCATTTGTAGCTCTTTAAAAAAAAGTTGCTTTTATTGTAATTCTGACCTTTTTCTATTACCAGTGAGGTCTTTTAATTTAGAGTTCTTTACCTGTTACAATTATTAATGCTTAGCATATTGTCTGTTGTTCCAAAATTTTCTTTGTCACTTTAGTTCCCTTTCCATTCTGTATATTTTTCAAAATCCTGTTATATATTTTTAAAGAATAAAATCATCTTTTTCTTCATATTTCTGCCGTTTGTCCTTAGAAAGGCAAACTCTACTCCAAGGTTATATAATAATTATATTCACTTATATTTTCCTCTTTTATAGTTTCATCTTTTTACCTTTAATGCTTTAATCCTTCTGAAATTATTTTTGTGTATATAATGAGGTAAGGCTGTACCTGTTTTTCCAAATAGTTAACCAGTTATCTCAGCACTACTTGCTGAGTAGTTATGCTTTCCCCACTCATTTGACATGCTAACTTCATTTATTCTTTTTGCCTGCTAATTTCTTTGTTTTATTTCACTGATCTGACCCTTTGAAATGTTCTTCAGCTGTTTAACTATGTGGCTTTATAATTTATTTTAACATGTATTTAATGGATTCCCTCTCTTTACACTGTTTTTTGTATACACTCATATGAGCTTTAGACTAATTATGCTCTAATTCTTAAAAAAATTCTGTTAGGAATTTTGATTTAAATTGCCTTAAATTTATAGATTTGTTTTGAGGTGAACCGACATTTTTGTTATATTCTTTTTTTTTGTTTGTTATATTCTTTTTAGTTACATGTATGTCTCATTCCTTCACCACCTCCCCAGTTCTTTACATCCCTATGTAATGCTTTGGTTCTTTTCTTCATAGACATTATGTATATATACAAAGAAGTTTATACATACATATTTATTTTATATACAGTAAAAGTATACTTTTTCTCTTTTTTACTAATTTCTGATAGCTGCTACATAGATGATATTGATTTTTGCATATTTAATTTTTATTCATTCATCTTTGTATACACATAAATTCAATTATTTTTTTCAGTTGATTCTCTTTTTTAAGGTAAAAACTGCAAATAATAAGTTTGTCTCTTCTGGATCTAATTACTCTTAAATTTTGATTTAACCTTATTTCAAATTTGAAAGAATAAAGATGGTATACACAAATTATGAGCTCGCAGCAAATTCAGTCCACTAGAGTAAATCAAAGTAGACATCAGTATGTAACATAATCATTCATTTTTTCAACGTTGTGTTTTCAGATTTAAGAAACATGCATATTTCATATTTTAATGTATTTTCACTTAAAAATAATGTAAACTTATTTTCAATGCAGAATTTAAATAACATTTTCACCCTGAACTTAGTGTTTTTATTCCATAGCTTAAACATCATTATTTTCAATGTAGTCATTTTCTTTACAATAAAATCTATTAGCATAGTTAGTAGGTACACTGTTTCAATTTAATGACTTGTAGTTAATTTCTTATAGTTATTTTTTATAGTTCTTAAAGATACCCTAGTCAGTCAGTACAAAACCACTGAAGGAATGCATACAGTCTTAACTTCAGAGAGCATGGCTATTCTATTTTTTTTTTTTTCTACCTGCTGGAGAAGAATACTTGAGAGAAACATTTTAGTGCCTTTATAAATACCAGTAATTGACATGCCAAGTAAGTGTTTAAACCTGCATTCACTGGTGAATTTGCAATTTTTATGCCTTCCAAAATGTGATTTAATGATGTGAAATTAAATATAGACTTTCTGCTCCTTTAAATGATTTGTTTAAAAAGGTGCAACAGCAGTAGGGTAGATATGCACATGTTACTCTTTGATTGAGACAACTTTGTAGTTTTAATTTTGGAACCCAACATTCTCTCTATGACTCTCTAACTGCGATCCTTGCCAAGTCAAACTTGTGAACTTGAGAATCAAGTTATCATCATACCATCCAGAGTATTACCTTTGCATATTACGACGATCGTAAGAACAAAGCTTAGACGTGCTAGTTCTCTTATGATTTACTTAAGATGAAATGTTTTTGTAGTGCTTATACAACAGATGATATGTTACATCATCTAGTTACAGGATGTAATCTTTGCAAGTAAATATCGTACATATCATGTGTCTCCTGTAGTAATCAAGGAGATAAATTCATTATGAATTTTTTAGAATGGTTAATTCTGGGATAGTTCTGCTGTGCCGGCTTGTAGTTATAGAAAATGAAAATGATTCTTCACATCTAGAGTTATGATGAAGATAATGCGTGTTTGTGTGTGACAAATGGAATTTGTACTTAAAATAATAAAATAATGACCACATCTTAATTTAATATACTAGTTTCTATTTGCAAAATTAAATATTTTAATTTTTATTAGCAACTTGAGAACTCTTGCCTATTAATATGTTGTGGAGTTTTGTAAGCCTTTGGCAATTGTAAGTTATCTAAGGAGTCATGGACTACTGTGAGTGGAAGAAAAGCTTTTAAAAAATTAAGGTTGTAGAAACTTCTATAATGTTCTGAAAGCTCAAGTGGGTCTTGGTATTTTTATTTTCTAGAATGTTCTGAAGGATCTGGAAAAGAGAAAAGCTGATTTAAACACCATCACAGAAAGTAGTGCCGCCCTCCAGAACTTGGTAGAGGGCAGTGAGCCTGTTTTAGAAGAGAGGCTCTGTGTCCTTAACGCTGGGTGGAGCCGAGTTCGCACCTGGACCGAGGATTGGTGCAACACCTTAATGGTATGTTTTGGTAAAAATTTAATTATGAAATCTTCTCTCCTTTAATTATTTAAACGTGAATACAGTTTTGACTAGAATTCCAAATCCTATTTTTCATGTGTCACAATAATGTTTTGCTTGTGAATTAATTTCATTAGACTACATTTTATTTTTTCCTTTGAAAAGATACTGGAGTTCAAAATGTCTCTATTAAGGACTAAACCATTTATGATATACACAGAAATATGTACTTTAACATCTTAGTAAATATACCTTATTTTTTATATTTTAGTGACAATATTGTATTTAACTTTCATATAATTATAAATGACATATATAATACTTATAGTGCCCTAATAATGGGGTACTAATTAGCACACACTCTAGCATCTGATGACCTAAATACAAATTTTGACTGTTAGCTGGGAGACATTGGTCAAGTTACTTAAATGCTCTCCAAATCTCAATTTTCTTCTATGTAAAAATGGACATTATTATCATTTTTGCCTCATACAGTTTTTGTGTTGATTATACGCCATAAAAAATGAAATGCTCTTATATAACTGTACTTAAAACAACCAATTTTAGACATTATGATGATTATGATTGTTAAATATCATATGTTGTTAGTCTTTGGTTATACCACTACACTGTTAATTATTTTATAGAATTTTGACCATTTAATTTTCATATGATTTTCTGTCTCTCTTACACTAACAGTGAATATATGGCAGTCTCACCCTTCCCTCCCTTAGAGGAAGATATCATAAATTATTATTTTGTTCTAACATATCTTAGATAGGAATTCTTCCAAATTCGTAGAACTATTGGCTAATGGACAGAGAGAGAAAAGTAAAACATTGTGTGTTTGAGAATTTATTAAGATCAGTCAGAATGTGTAGGGTGTTGAAGTTCATCGGCTTACACCATGATCTGTCAGATTTCATATCAAGAGTCCATCCATGACTTATTATCTGCATAACCTGTGTAAATTACTTAATGTCACTAAGTTTTAATTTCCCAATATATAAAATGGGAATAAAAGAATATACTAACAGAGTTGTTAAATGTTGAATGACGAATGTGAAAATCTTGGCTCATAGAATATGTTCATCAAATATTTTACGTGTTCATTTTTGTTATAACTAGATTTATTCCACGCGTTCATGATCCTTACTTCTGTATGCTTCAGTCTGTACCTTCCAAATAGTGTCTCCTTTCAAATAGTATCTTTCTAGTCCTATTAGAACATTTGATTTACCTACATCATTGGGGTAAATAGTCTGTTGCTCGTCAGTTCTTCTTACCTGGAATCCAGATCATTGTCTGAACTTTTCTCATTCGCTTATTAGTTCTCATTTTATTTTTTCAATTAGTTTCCCATATTATAGATTAATAATTTGTTTTGTTGTCTTTTAAACACTTTTCTTCTAAGTTTTTTTTCTCCTAGTTTCCTTTATCCTATAAAATAAAGTTCCTAAAAGATGTTAATTTTATCATAAGGCTCCCCCACTCCTTTTGATCAAGTTCTAAACTCTTGCTTTAACCTCAGCATTTTTGCCCAGATTTATTCAGCTTAACTGTTTGATTCTGTATTCAAATTTATTATCTTGATGACATTTTATATCTTGCTTCGAGAAATATTACTGAGGTCTGTGCCAGGTGTAATATTAAATGCCTATAAAACGGAGGTGAAAAGACACAGACCCTGCCCCTCCAAGCAGTTATAGTCTTTTGAGCAGGGAGAATCTTATTCAATCTGTATTTTAATTGTTCTTTTATATTATTGCTGCCTTAAGTGAGTTTTTAACAGATATGATCAAGTGGGGCAAATGAGATTACTTGTAACATAGGAATGAGGAATAAGGAAGACAAATAAAACGAAATTGAAGAAGAAACTTTTACCTTTTATTATTCTTCAACTTTTTATTATACTGAGGACTAAATCAAGTAAATTTAAAAAGTACTTCACCTTAGTTGTGCATTTTTAGGAATGAGATTTGTTCACTGGAGAGAGATTTGTAGTAAGGTGGAAACCCTTTAAATTCATCATACAGTTAGCTCTTGGAAGGTCTTTTAAATCTCTTCAGACTATCGTCTTAAATATTTCATATGATTATATCAGTGTTTTATTCCTTTCTAGACTCATCAGAACCAGTTGGAAATATTTGATGGAAATGTTGCTCACATAAGTACCTGGCTTTATCAAGCTGAAGCTCTGTTGGATGAGATTGAAAAGAAACCAGCAAGTAAACAGGAAGAAATTGTGAAGGTAATAAATGTGGAGATCAGTACCACTCTGCGAGTGGCAGGTTTTGCTGTAGCCTTTTTTCCTGTGGAATGCATTAGGTTACTGTGCACACATTCTTCCCGTGCAGTAGATGCATTAACTTTTATTTTGGTGGGAGAAACTGAAGTCCTGAGTGAGGCTTCATACATGAACAGCTTACTCAAGTTGACTGTGTTGAAACCCTTTGTTAAGAATCACAGACCTTTATTTAAACTACCTTTAATTCTGAGTTAGCATCGCACTCATGTTTGGTTTTGATTTGTCCCATGTGATAATTTCATGTTTTCTTACTATTAGCGTTTACTATCTGAGCTGGATGATGCCAGCCTTCAAGTTGAGAAAGTCCGCGATCAAGCCGTTGTTTTGATGAATGCTCGTGGAGGCTCAAGCAGGGAGCTTGTAGAGCCAAAATTAGCTGAACTGGATAGAAACTTTGAAAAGGTGTCTCAACACATCAATAGTGCCAAAGTGAGTAATTATATGTTTATATAAAGCTATTTTTCATATAATTGTGTTTCTAAATGATAGATGATTGATTATATGGCATATATAATGCCACATCAAAAATTTTTAAATTAAATTTTTTTTTTAATGAAACATTTGTTCTTATTTCTGATTGTGCATATGAAGGAGAGAAAATAAGAAATGAGTATTGATGTAAACAACCCATTCGAGAAAAGTTTTCAGAGTCTCAACTGAATGTTAAAATTGACTGTAAAATAATGAGACTAATTCCCAAGCTAGACATGAATATTAAACTTGGTATTTTATACATATACTTTATAAATTTGTGCACACGCTACACTTGTGAACTTGTTTTTGTGTTTTACATGTTGACGCATTACAAGTAATTTCACAATTTAGACCTAACACTGAAAACTACTACCTGGTTTTGTAAGTTTGAAAAAGGGCCTTATAAATATAAATAAGAGGATAATAAGTAAGAGTGTTCTTAAAAGACAGCGTTTATTTATGCTTCCCTATTATAATTTTTCTCCATGTGTATATATCTTTCATTCTCTTTCTTCTTAACTTTGTTTCATGAGAGGAAGAAACAAAATATTTTATTATATGGTCTT